CCAGGACCACTCACATCTCTCATCCCTTGATTGGCAATTTCTATTCTCTGGATGCAATACTGTAGAAGACCATTACAACATATTTTTACTTGAAGTCAAAAGAGCCATCAAAATATATGTACCATTAACAATTCCCCAAACCAGAAAAAAACAAATTACCCCAAACAATAAGGAAGCTTCAATCCAAAAAGAAATCACTTTAGTGGAAAAACAAATCTGGTCACGTTGCCAACTTCAAAAGCCAATACAAAAATTTGTGCCAACAGATAAAAACTGAATGCACCAATTATAACATTAAACAAGAAGAAAACCTTCTATGCACCAATTCCACCGATGCTTTCTACAATTTTGTAAACAACAAACTAAAAGACTCAAGGTCCATCCCATCCCTGAAAGGACCTGATGGTAAAGATTGCAACAATGACACTATTAAAGCCGACCTCCTTAACACATTCTTTGGCTCAGTATTTGTAAACAGCAATGGATCATGCCCAGTATTTCCTAGTCGAACCACAGACAACTACAATGATCTAATACATATTGATTTTACAGTAGACAATGTTGAAAAAGCACTATGCAATCTAAAACCATCTCTATTTATTGGACCAGATGGAATATGTGCCTACTTCTTAAAAAAGCTACCCACAGCCATAGCTTAACCTCTAAGCATAATCTTTGAAAAATCTTTCAGGACCAGCTCCTTGCCAAAACTATGGTCACAAGCCATGGTCATCCCCATCTTCAAAAAGGGAGACCCCAGCCTAGTTGAAAATTACAGACCAATCTCCTTATGCTGCATCACCTGTAGAGTCATGGAATCAATTATTAACCAACCCATCATCCTCCACTTAGAAACAAACAATCTACTCTCTAATAAACAATTTGGTATTAGGAAAAAGCTATCATGCAATCTGACACTCTTACACTGCAAAAACATATGGACTACACAACTTGATCAGGGCAAAGCAATAGATGCAATCTACATAGATTTCTGTAAAACCTTTGATTCAGTGGTACACGACAAACTACTCCTAAAACTAAAATCTTATGGTATCTCTGGACACCTGCAATACTGGATAGAAGCATTCCCCTCAAACAGACAACAAATGGTCAAAATTGGCAGTGTCCTATCAAATTCTGTACCTGTCAACAGTGATGTCTCCCAAGGCAATGTTCTAGGACCAACTCTTTTCATACTCTACATAAATGAACTCTGTGATCATATCAAGAGCAACTGCGTTCTCTTTGCTGATGATGTAAAGCTAATCAACATCACAGACAATACTGCTGCCCTTCAAAAAGACCTTGACTATGTATCAGAATGGTCAAACAAATGGCAACTTCAAATCTCAACAAATAAATGCTCTGTCTTACATATTGGCAAAAAAAATCAGAAAATAAAATACAAGCTGAATAGTCAAGACCTTGTTGATGATCCAAATTCTGTCAAGGATCTTGGAGTACTCATCTCAAATGACCTAAGTGCTAGAGGCCACTGTAACTACATAGCCAAAAAGGCGTTAAGAGTTGTTAACCTAACCTTACATAGCTTTTTCTCTGGTAATATCACGCTACTAACTAGAGCACACAAAACATTTGCTAGACCAATACTCAAATATAGCTCATCAGTCTGAAACCCACATTATGTATCTGATATTAACACAGTTGAGAAAGTCCAGAAATATTTCACAAGAAGAGTTCTCCACTCCTCTACTCATTGCAGAATACCTTATGCCACCAGACTCAAAATTCTAGACCTAGAAAGCCTAGGACTACACCGCCTTCGGTCTGATCTAAGTATAGTATATAAAATCATACATTGCAATGTCCTTCCATCAATGCATACTTTAGCTTCAGCCATGACAACACAAGAGCAAACAATAGATACAAATTCAAGGTTAATCACACCAAACTTGATTGCAGGAAATACGACTTCAGCAACAGAGTGGTCAATGTCTGGAATACTCCACCTGACTCTGGTTCTTTCCCCAAACCCCAAAAACTTTAACCTTACACTGTCTACTATTGAACTTACCCCTTTCCTAAGAGGACTGAAGGGGGCATGCATAAGCACACCAATGTGCCTACCATCCTTGTCATATTGTTTCTTTTATATATTTTTTATTTTTCTTATATGTATCCATATATTCATAACTATGTTTTTACTTATACCTATTATCTTGTAAGCAATTGACAAATAAAAAAACAAACAAACATCCAAACACCATCTAAAAGTTAGCTTATGTGAAGATCTATGAAGGTGGACTTTAGATAACCTCAACAATCATTACAGTTTGGGGAATGTTAAGTTCAGCATTTTGAAATATGCTTATTGGCTCTTATAATGTACAAGTGACATAAAATTGGAATTATGAGCAAAGTTTTGGCGCCCTACCATATGAAGATGAGTGACTTACTATATCAGCATTAATCTTCATATATCTTAAGGGGGCAATCCTATAACTGATCTTGGTAGTCTGATTTAGAGAACAATGGATAGTTAGGTCATTTGGTCTAGTACTCCAGATGGCATGCAAATCAGATTTTTGCAAACAATACTCTGGTCATTGCTGCCAAATCTGG